CCGTGGGACCCGGGACCCGGGACCGGCGCAGGACCCGGGGCCTGGGACACGAGTGTGGTGCCCGGGACCCGGGACCGGCACGAGACCCGGGACCAGCGCGGGACCCGGGACCCCGACCCGGGGCTGGCGCGGGACCCGGGACTCAGACCGGCGCGGGACCCGGCACCCCAGGACCGGCGCAGGACCCGCCACCCGGGACCGGCGCGGGAGCCGAGACCTGGAACCGGAGCGGGACCCGGGACCCAAGACCCAGGACCGGCGCGGGACCCGGAACCCGCGACCCGGGACCGGCGCGGGACCCGGGACCTGGCACCGGCGCGGGACCCGGGACCCAGGACCGGCGCGGGCCCAGGGACCCGGGAGCGGCGCGAGACCCGGGACCCGGGAATGGCGGGGGACCTGCGACCCGGCACCGGCGCGGGACCCGGGACCCGGGCGACTGGCGCGGGACCCGGGGCCCGGGACCGGCGCGGGAGCCGGGACCTGGGACCGGCGCGAGACCCGGGACCCGCGACCCGGGACCAGCGCGGGACCCGGGACCGGCGCGGGACCGGGCACCCGGAACCCTGCAGGACTGGCGCGGGACCCGGGACCCGGGACCGGCGCGAGACCCGGAACCCGGAACGGCGCGAAACCGGGGACCTGGGACGGTGCACGGTACTCGGGACCCGGGACTGGCACGGGACCCCGGGACCATCGCGGAACCCGGGAACCGGGACAGCCGCTGGACCTGGAACTCGGGATCCGGGACTCGGGACCGGCGCGGAACTCGGGACCCAGGACCCGCGCGGCGGGGTCCGGGGCCCGGGGCCCACTTCGGCAACTTGCTCTGTTAGCCAGTTGCAATTCGAATTGCATCTCGGTTAAGCCACGTTGCAAGCTGCGCAACCTGTACTGCAAACTTTCCAAGTACAAGCAAATAGATGTCAAACGGCGTTGACTTATATGCGACTTGCACTGCGTTGCGACGGAAACATGTGAGTTGCATCTACGCCTCATGTAGTTAGCAACCATGTTGCAAATCGTAGAACAACTTACCAAAACTTAGCATGCACTTACCAAAACTTAGCTGCACTTACCAAAACTTAGCTGCACTTACCAAAACTTAGCATCACCGCCCCGACATATTGCCATGCGAGCACATGCACAGACCCATATATATATACATACATATATATATGCATATGTAACGTTTATGTACATTCATACATTCAAACATACATATACACACACCTATATATATATATATGTATATATATATATGTATATATATATGAATAAACACACACATACACACACACGCACCTTTGCACAAGCACATGCCTACCCGCATACAAGTGCACGCGGCCATACACACATACACACCGTATGTATCAATCAATGCATTCGTGCACCCTTCTGTCCCGCGGGGGCAGCGCCTCCCGATGCAGCGGCGAGGGTGGATGGTTTCTGGCTAGAAGTTCGAAGCTCTCGGGCCCTCGGGGGCCCCCTTCGTCGCCGCGGCCAGACGCGGCTACGAATAATTACTGGTGCGCTTGGACCATCGGAGGGATCTGGGGGCCCATTTGGAGCGGTTTTGGGCCCCTCCTTCCTCCTCCCCCGCCTCATCCCTTCCTCCTCCCCCCGTCCTCCCTCCCTCCTCGCTTCCTCATCCTTTCCTCCTCCACCGTCGCCCCAGGAAGGGGGGGGGGAGGAAGGGAGGAGGAAGGGAGGAAGGGGTGAGGAAGGGAGGAGGAAGGGAGGAGGGGGCCAGCAGGCGGGAGCCTGCGGGCCCACTCCTCGCCGCCGTCGCAGGGGGACGCGACGGCGGTCCCAGGAAGGACGCCGCAGGCACCGAGGCGCGCCTCGGATGGTTGCGTGGATGGTTATGGATGGTTAAGTGGGTGGTTGAGCGGATGGTTATGTATGGTTAGATGGATGGTTAGTGGGGTGGTTATGGATGGTTCGTTGGATTGTAAAGCGGATGGTTATGGATGGTTATGTGGATGGTTATTAGGATGGCTATTGTTGGTTATTCAGATGGTCATCGGATGTTCTCCTTCAAGCGCTCGCCGAAACATATCCCCCGATGCTCTGGAGTCGAACGCAGAAGAAACTTCACTTCTCGTTCTTGCACTTGCGCACGAACTGTACAACGCCCTGCCATGCTGCCTTCGGGTCCTTGGCCCAGGAGAACAACTTATCTACCCTATGGCCAGCGGGCAGGCAGCGCCAAGCCTTCGCGTTGACGCACGTGTAAATGCGACAGCCGCGATACACCATCGGCCCTGGATTCGTCTTGGGCACGCCTGGGAACTCCAAGCAGGCGGGTTTGCTGAGAGCCTTCGGCGGTTTCACTTTGGTGGCCGCCGCGGGGGTCTTGGGCGCGGCCGCCGATGGGCGGCGCTTCACCTCTCGGGTTCGTCGTCGTCGTCGCCGTCGTCGTCGTCGTCGTCGTCGTCGTCGTCGTCGTCGTCGTCGTCGTCGTCGTCGACATGTCGACGACGACGACGACGACGAT